TGTATTTCAGTCAATCTTCCTTTTCTGCAGGTCTGGAAATGAGGAAGCAAGGCTGGAAGGGAAGCACTACCCTGAAGGCAATGTCATGTGTGGCTTCATTAGGAGGTGTTTTGAGAAATGCATTAGATGATTTCTGTAGTGGTAGGAATGTCTGAGAGTACTTATACCAGCCTGGACGGCACAGTCTGCTCCACATCCACTGCACAGAGGGCCCATCTCTGGGACATAGGCCAAGGTGGTCAGAAACCTTGTTAGGTGATGCAGGGCTGTTGACATCTTCCAGTTTTTTCAAGAGAATTAGATATTTGGATTTGCATGTTCAGTGTCTCCATTTTTCATTATTAGTCACTTCAGTTTTTTTAAAGATGTATTTATTATTTATTTATACCTACAAGAGCTAGGGTATAGGCCAGAGGTGCAGGGGCATGAGAGGATTCACCAGAGACAGAGTGGGGAGCAGAACAGGCCGACTGATGAAGTACATTGCTAAGGGGAGCCAGGAGAGGTCTGCTATGCCATGTGGTCAGCTCCCTGGCTGGGGATCGAACTCATGCTGCATTGGCTAGAGATAGCTACATAGTGCTGAGACTTAACCCCTTGGGCAAAGAGGGAGGGCCCTAAATATATTTTTTAAAGATTTATTTATTTATGCATACAAAACTGGGGTACCTGCCACTCATGCTGCAATGGCTGTGGATAGCTTCATAGTGCTGCTCTTTAACCCTTTGTGCTACCAGGAAGGGCCCTTTTTTTTATTATTTTAATGAGAAATAATTGACACCCATCACACATAGTCTGCCTAAAATACTTTATAATAAAAATGTAGAAAGCAAATTTTGAAGCTTGGGAATAGATACCAACCTTTTTACAGCGAGATTACTTGTGCATGGAAGTTGACAAGTGCAGACAGCACATAGGCCACCAAAAAGCTGGAGGAGGGGGACAGGGCACAAGGGTGACAGTGAGAGTGACTAGAACTTGAAAAAAAAAGAGATTTATCTATTCATGCACACAGAGCTGGGGTACAGGCCAGAGGCTCAGGGGTGGTGAGAGGCTTCACCAGAGACAGAGTGGGGAGCAGAACAGGCAGAGTGACTGAACTACACTGCTGAGGGGAGCAGCGGGTGAGACAGCAGAGTTCTGCCGCGCCGTGTGGGTCACCCCCTGGCCGGGGATTGAACTCATGCTGCAGTGGTTGCAGATAGCTTCATAGTGCTGTGCTTTTAACCCACTCGGGATGCCAATCATTCCTATTCTTTAACACTCTCCCTAAATATCACTTACCTGTGTCTCCCTCCAACCCCCACTTCCCTAGGCGTGAAAACACTGCTTACACAGAGAAGGAATTCACGGCAACTTCTGCTCCAGGTCCCATAAGCCCTACAAGATCAACTACACCCAAAACTAAACTAACCTCTTTCCCCCGAATTCCCCAAGTCTTCCCCTCTTAGATCTTGCATTCAGCGAGGATAATCCACCAAGCTGTGGACAAGGCCTGAGCATCAACCTGACCCCCAACCCCTCCAGCCATACCTGTGGTCACCTACCCTGTAAACTTTATCTCCTAAATCTTTCTTGAATGGGAGATTCTTCCACTTTCCCATTGCCAGCTTCCCTAAACGAGGTTTCACAAACTTTTTCTTAAAGGACCAGATTGTACACATTTTAACTTTGTGGCAACTTGGCAGATGTCATATAGGGACTTACCCCTTTAAAAATGTAAAATTGCTCCCGAGCCCACCTAGCAGGTTGGATTTGGCCCATGGGTCCTAATTTGGGGACCCTGATCTACACTGTGACTGTCCTATGGCACTGGTCTGTTGCCCCATACCTCAAACATGGAAGCTGCCTTGGCTGTAGGGACCTTTCACATATAAGCTGGATCTTGTCACTTGCCCACCGAAAGCCCTCCTGGGGCCACCCTTTTCCTGAAAGATCAGGGGAAGGAAAAGTCCCTGTTCCTGGTGCTGTGGACCCAGATCCCTTTGCTCAGCTCTCCCGCTCTGGCCCTGCTGGCCACTTTGAACTCCCTGTGCCACTGACACTCCCAGCCACAGGTCTGCAGGCTGGCAGTGGACATGGCCAGGCAGGTGCATACCTGCTCGGAAAGCTCACACAAGGCAAGCTGAGCGAGGTGTCCATCCTCCCCCGTGATCCCTGGGTCATAGCCTGCCGGTCTCTGGGCCCCCAGCGCCCTTTGTCCAGGAGCCAGAGGGCCGGCTGCTGCCCTGTGCCTAGGCCTCCTCCTCGTGCTCCCTCCGCCCACAAGGTCTACACTCCTCCAGCCCCCTTGGCTCTCCCTCCTCCTTTACCTCCTTTCTTCTTTTCCTTTGGCAGGAAGAAGACACCTCACACATGCAGTCCTGGGCATTTAAAGCCCTTGGAGTCTCTGGGTATGGGGGGTGGGGGGCAGGAACATTAACAGGTTTAACTTCTCTTAGGATAAGATACACACCAATCATAAGCAATGCTAAGGAGGGGGAAAGGAATCCTTCAGGTACAAAACTGTGGGGAATTTTTGACAGTGTGTGTGTTTAGACAGGCAGCTACCTGCATGGCTGGTGTTCAGTTCACAGGTACAAACACCATGGTGTTAAAATATAGGCATACTCTACCTGTGGACACTCTGAACACCAGCCATGCAGGTAGCTGCCAGTCTGTTGCTGGCCGATGAGAAGAACCCCACAACCTCCCGGTCACTCTCTCTTCCCAATCCATCCCCCTGGGCCCTTCTGGGAAAGATTCCCTTCAGCAGAGCTACAGTCTGGGCAAGTGTAACCTCTCCAGCCACAGCTGAGGTGTTCACTGTGGGGGTGGGGCCATTCCTGACACTCCCAGGCCCCCAGGCCACAGACCTGCTGGATTTGGGGTGGCCAAGGCCAGCTGGACACTCCTGGTTCCAAAAGCTCACCCAAGGCAGCTGCCCCCCCC